CATAGCTATCAATAATTTAATTTATTAATTCATCTACAAGGTTACAGCAGATGCTCAAAATAATGTCCATGCACTTCAACACAACAAGCCATCCTATTTTTAAAACTTTGTAATACATTTTGCAACACCCCTGTCTGCTCAATTCTTCTTATCTCTGTGCTTATCCTTTCTCTCAATTTCTCAATATTGGCAGGTTTTGTTTTATACGCGATGTCTTTTAAGTGAACCCATAGAAAATAGCCTAATGGATTCATGTTGGGTGATCGCGGGGTCCATTCGATGGAACCACGCCTTCCAACCCATCTTCCGGGAAACACATTGTTGAGGTGTTGCCTCACCTCATGCGCATAGTGAGGTGGAGCTTCATCTTGTTGCCGCCAAATATCATTGTTTGGGATATTTTTATTGTCTGAAAGATTCAAAAAATGAAATTTCAAAATTGAAAGGCAATTGAAAATACTTGGATTTGGAAATTTCCGAGCCAACTCAGGTTATAGTACTATTTCGCAGTAAATTGAAATACGCCGGACCATTTAAGTTTCCTTCAATGAAATACGGTCCAATTATTGTGTCGCCTATTATTCCAGCCCACACATTGAGCTTTTTGGGATACTGGGACCAAATCCAATGAGGATTGTTACGTGCCCAGTATCTACAATTATGCCTATTTACTTGTCCATTGATAAAAAAAGTAGCCTCATCGGAAAACATAACATTATTTAAAAAATTTGGATAGTAACATTTTCCCATCATAGCGTCTGCAAACTCTGCTCGTCTATCAAAATCGTCGTCTGACAACTCTTGAACCAATCTTACTTTGTATGGATGGAATTTATCATCACGTAAAATTTTCATAGCGGACTTTTGCGAAATTTCAAGTTCTCTGGATATTTGTCTAGTACTTAAGTGTGGATCGTCTTCTAACATGACACAAACATCTAAAGATTTGTTCTCCAGTTGATGCAGTCTTCCTGCATCCTGATATGGGTAAATCTTTTACTGCACCAGGCAAATTCCCTCTTCTCTAGGGCCCTCCCATTTGAAGTGAGACAAAAGATCACGCGGTGGCTTCTTCTTAGTTGGTTTTATATATATTATTGTCTGTAAAGATATCGTAATCAACAAACAGAAAAACTATTTCAGTCATTCTAGCGTTGCCGATTATGCTGATTTTCGGAAAAACAGGGTAATTAACTTGCGAAAAACGAAGTTATTAAAGCATTTTTGCTAGTCAATATTATTCTTTCTATATCTACATACAGGGTGTCCCACATGATCTATAGTAGGGCAATTTAAAATTTTGAGGTTAGGGTGGCTATCGCCGGAGGGGTGGTTCGGGGAGAGCTGCAAAGTACCTTGTTTTGGTTCCCCCTTCCAACTTTCCAAACGAATTTTCCTTTTTTTTTATCGATTACCGTTTTCAAGATTTAGGCCAATGACTTTTTTCGGTGGGACACCCGGTATATAAAAACAAACAAATCAAAACCAAAGCCAATCTGAGGATGTGACTTTTTTCACAAATTCACTACCCTGTCTCTGTATTTCTGGAAATCAACAACGGGTAAAGTCCGTCGATTTTAATCTGACACTCCAGAGGAATGTGAGCTGGAGGCTCCCTACATTAGAACGCCACAGAGCTGGGCAGGGCTTGAGTGCTTTGTGCTTGCGATAGTGCTTGAAGTACTTTGAGGACTTGAAAGCCCTGTGCTTCAAGCCCTTTTATGGATTTGTAATTGGGGCTTGCAAAGTCAATTACTTTAGAAAAGTGCTTGGTAATTTGTAATTGAAAAAAGTAATTCAAGCCCTTTCAATGAGCTTCAATTACTTTTAGAGGGCTTGAAGCACTTTTGGGAGCTTGAAGCACTTTAAAAGGGCTTGAAGCACTTTGAAAGGATTTTGAATTAACCATGATTCAACCTATCCCCCACTTATTTGAACTTGAACCGTCTGATGTCTTTTCTCTCTCAACAATGGAGGTTTTGGGATTGAGCTTAGAATGAAATTAAAAAAAAAAAAATGAATGAACTTATTATTCAAATAAATAAATAATTTATATTGGTACCCTATTTAACTTTATCACTGGATTTTTTTCACTTTTCCCCATTGAACATTTTGAAAACCTTAAAATTGAATTACCATGTAGTAGCCCAACTACCCCAGAACTACATCTCAAAAAAAAACATACTACTGCTACTCTGTGAAATGTAAAGTTCGTCTCTACTATACCAATTCTGTGTGATGAGTGTACGCGGTAGCTTATGCCACTTTGAGAATTTTATTACAAATTCAAAGTGCTTTAGGCACATTTAAAGAGCTTCAAGCACATTTAAAGAGCTTGAAGCACATTTAAAGAGCTTGAAGCCCTTTTCAAGGCACCCCAAGCACTTTTGATGTGCTTCAAGCACTTTCCAAATCACTTTAAGGGCTTTGTGCTTCTCAAGCACAAAGCACTTTGAGGGCTTTGTGCTTGTGAAGCACTTTTGAAAATAAAAAGGAATTTGTGCTTGAAATTGAAGCACTTTGATAGAGGGCTTAGGGCTTAGTGCTTCAAGCCCTTTTACTGAGGGCTTTGCCCAGCTCTGGAACGCCAATGGTCACCTGACGTCTCAGCTGTTTTGGCCATAAATTACACCCCCTCGCGCCTTATACGGAAAGTTTCAGATTAAAAACGACGGACAATAGTTGAATTCAAATTCACTGATATGCGACGGGCGATTTCTACGCGACTTCGGCTTGAACTTTTTCAGAGCAGAAGGGAGCTGATGTTGGTATGAGATAGGTAGTTGATTTTTCATAAGAACGGTGGATTACGCGAAATAGCGGAAAATTTGATGATCAATGGCGTGGGGAGTCGGATATTTTAGTTTATTTTCATAAATATCTGAATGGCCCACCTGTCGAAGACGTCACCTGGCCCACCGGGATTTTGCCAGGTTGCCCGGTGGGCCAGTCCGACACTGGTTGTAATACGGACCATTCAACTTGCGATAATTTGTATCCACCTGATTTTGTCGACGGAGATAGTGATGACGATTATAGTGATGAGGCCGATTTGTAATTTTATTAAAGTTTATGTGCAAATATATCACTTAATTTTCTTTAAATATCTAAACTGATACAACATAGCGTAGACCATATTTTCTTTTGATAAAAAAAGGTAACACCGAAGCTAACACCCAGTGACATCTTAACACAGATATACTGTAGGTATTCCTTTTATACATCGGGTTACACCGAACGTGTCGCTCTAGAGCTCTTCGGAGTCACTCCAAAACACAATTCAGATATTATCATTATTCTTTAATATTAACATAAACTTAAAGTTGCACCCCCCGCAAATTTGGTGCATCAGGGGACAGGGGAGTGCACTATGAGCCACTCGAGTGCTTAACGCATTTTTAAAAGGAACGTTCAAACTTTTGGCATTGAGCAGCTCCGAGTAACTCAACGGGTAAAAGGAATACAGCAATGGACAACGCATCTCATTCATAAACTGATGTTTTTTGTGATGACAAGACCCTCCATGGGCCAGGAGAGGTGAGCAGCTCGAGGAGAGTCATGGTGGGGATGCATCGGAGGTGTGAACAAGACCCGCCTTCCTGTCTGATCTCATCATTCACTTGACCAAAATAATGAAGATATGCGCACGAGTGCAACTCGTTTACAACATATATCCGCCTCTAACTCATATGATATACATTTGATGGGTGCGTTTACATGCCAATCGATTGCAGCGTGTGTTCCGTTTGTTTCACAAAGCCGGCGTTGCCAGTAGTCGTTTTTAGTCTTGGTAGCTTGACATCATAACAGGATCAAACCAATCAGTAACAATTTGGCAACCTAATTGGAGGGGATAAACCAGAGGTGGATCCAAAAACATGTGGTTTTCTCTTTACTTTATCTTCCTAACAAGCTAAGAAAAATTAAAATTGGTTAAACAACAGCGATGTTAGGGTAGAACATATTGTTCATATTGCTAAGGCGGCCATCTTGTTTTCCGCACTCTAAACAAACGCAAAATCTGTGACGGTGTCACCATACAAATTATTGAACTACTTCATTTTTCTGATAAAATGACACCACTGGCACGTTCCCTTCATGAATATCGCCACGGGGAGCTATTTTTGTACAGGGTGGGCCAATTTGGACACTTTTAATAGGAAACCTCAATTTCTGAGCGAGATACAAAAAAATAAACCACACATTCTGAGGCTCAAATTTCATGAAATTAATATATTAATAGTTCATTGAAAAGCTCTGCTTTTGCTGATTTCAATGATATAAAATTCGATAAGTTTATCTCTAACGGTTTCAGAGAAAAAAATTATTTCGATTTTTGTCATAAGAAAGAATGTGTTGAAAAAGGACTTTATATCTGTAAGGAAAACGAGAAATGTCTCTTTCTAACACATTGTGTCTTATGACAAAAACAGATTTTTTTTTTCTCGAAAACTCTTAGGGATAAACCTATCGAACTTTTATCATTGAAATCGGCAAAAGCAGAGCTTTCCAATAAGCTATTGATATATAGAGTGTTCTATTGAAAAAAATCGGATTTTGGTCAATATCTCGAAATCAAAGTCAATTAGAAAAAAACTGAGAACGTCACTGAATTATGGTTAAAAAAGTGCTTCTAGAAACATAAACAAAAAAGTTATGAAGGTTTCACAGTATTGCTCAAAATTATTGACAATCGCCCTCTAGCGGCTAAACGGTTGAAGATATCAAAATGCGGCTTGCACCAATCAGGATTTAATGAAATTTGATCCTCAGAGTGGGAGGTTCATTTTTTTCTATCTCTAAAAATAAAGAGTGTTTCCATAAGAAAGTGTCCAATTTGGACCTCCCTGTACATTGTGCTCCCGAACTACTAAGGAAAATTTATCTGTCGTCATTTCTGTAAAGTATCACAGGAGAACATTATTCTTGTCGAGATAAAGACGTACTGTAACGTTTACAATATTTTCTTGATTTTAAATATCTTTCGATACGGTACTTACTTCGTCAACTGGTCTTGGCCTCCATGGAAAATTGGTACCATTTGGGTCTTCCACTAATCGCTCATGGGCTGATATACTTACAGTAGATCCATCTTTGTCTAATAAAACCAATGTTGGTACTCCTGATTTGATTCTGTACCTTCTGCTGAGCCTTGTCTGAAATAAATTACAACAATCATAAAATCTAAAAATTACATTTTTATTTCCATTAATGACTAAGAAAACATCGTCAAAAAACAAGCAAAGTAAGTAATGGCAAACAGCGCACTGGAAAAAATGAGCAAAAGAATAAAAAAGTAGTAAAGGTAATTTTAAATACTGAATAATAAATGGGCAAATGGCGAGCACGGGTTGACGATAAGAAGTTCACTGGCGTAGCCAGGGGGGGGGCAAGGGGGCATTTGCCCCCCCCAAGACCCTTAAATTTTATGAATATTTCTTCAAAATTAAGATAAACAGTCCCAAAAATAGCGTAAAGAAACCTGAAAAAGGGGCGTGGCACCCAAAAATTTCGCGCCTGCGGCGCTTTGCCTCCGGCAGCGGTCGCGGTAGGGCCGCAAAAGACGCTTCCTGCAAATTTGCCCCCCCCAAGACAAAATCCTGGCTACGCCACTGAAGAAGTTTTAACATTAATCTTGGCTCTGCGTATTAAAATTATCCCCAATGGGAAAACTGACTTTAGGAGAAAGAGGTAAGAGATTTGACAAAGCAAATGACAATTTAATTTATACACACCGCACAAAAATTATCGCATCACCAATGCTTTTATATATTTTGGCTACAGTAAATTTATTTTAAAAATTTCTTAAGTATTCCCTGAATAGGCATTCTTTAACCGGAAAATTCGAGTCAAAAAACATGTCGTTTCTTCTTTCTGTTAGGTTCTTGTTTACTTTTTTCGGGAAAATGCGGATATGCATAGATTCCACTTTGCAATTATACTGTTCTTTTCTGTGTTTTCTGCTTTGATAGATGCGATAATTTTTGTGCGGTGTATATTTTGATTTTGATTATAAGTAAGGTTCGTTTCACCAGGGTTCATACTTGACCTTGAAACTTGAAAAAAAAGGGTTGTCGTAGATTAATTTTTATGACACATTCAATTTTTTTGACAAATTAAAATGAATGACTTCTGGTTTAAGAACCGACGAACGTTTTTGACGTCATTGATTTGTTCCAGTCAGTTTTTATTTGTTAAACAAGGAAGGCAAATGCTGGTGGAAGTACAAACCCTGGCGAAACAAACTTTACCTACTCTTCAGCCTAACAACCTTCAAAATAATTTCTTTTTTCGGATCACCCAGTAGTGAAGTTAGGTATGATAATGCAAATCAAAAACTTAATACCTTGATTGAGTTTTATGGGTTCCTCGTGCGTTTACATTCCACCATTTCAGAGGCTCTTCTTGGGCCGTTTTTTTTTTTTATCCGTCCAGGGCACGATGACCTTATTCGAAATTCAAAACCATCTTCACATTGTTTATTTCAAGGTAATTAAGAAGTGTTTAGTTTCGGTATCTTATCTTGAACATCTGCCAAAGGCAGAGGTGTAAACTGTAAACTTATCGACTATAAAAAAAAGCGGAAAGAAATGTTGTTTAAATTATGGCGTAAAGTCCTTTACAAATCAAAAAAAGAAACGCGAGTCCTCGCAGAAGCTTTAATGGCAATAATGGGGCCCAGCGTCAGAAGGAAATTGCATGTGTGAAAGATTTATATCGTCCCACAAACGGTCTCTTTTATATTCGAGAATAGCGAGATTTAACGTTTTCGAGTTAAAATCTTCAAGGTTTTTGACTTTTGAGGCAGTTGCTGAAAGGAAAAATCAGATTCCGCCGGAAACTTGCTTTCACGGGATTTTTAAGCTGTTGCTAATGAGATTATTTTTTGTTGCATAGTTATTATCTGCTATAGTCATTAGAGGAGTTAGTAATGGTTATAACGCATTGCTGTAACCATATTATCAGCAGCTTCATCTTTATTTGTGAGGTGTACAACAATAAAGAAAACAAAACAGATCGAAATGAAATTTATTTGACTCTTACCGCTCTTACTATTTAGGTTAAGAAGGGATAAAATATGAAAGTATAAAAGATTTGGGTCCTTCTAGCGAAAAGGAGAGATCTTATTGGGAAAATGGTTTAAAAGAGGAAATCGACGAGCATTTTTCTTTGCGAAGACCAATATCTTCTCACATAAGAATAACAACTAATGTTAGTCTGCCTATCTACATTTTGTTTTATTTACTTATAATGCTCACTTTTTAGTCTCTATAAAGTTGTATATTTTTGGCCCTTCATAGCACTTTTTAGTGAAAATATAAAAAGCATAATTAATTTTATTGCGTTGTACTGGATTTCAAATTCAGAAAGAGTGCATTTATTCAATCCCTGTAATTCCCTCTCTTTATTTGTCAACTCCAAATTCCATCAAAAAAACTCTCGAATAAAATACTCCATCAGGAAAGTTTCAGTGTATAGCTTTTACATAAAAGTGCCTCGACTAGTTTTTGAAAAGATTCCAGTGCGAGTTGACAAACATAGGTATTCAAGATAGGAGCATATATTTGGCAAAAAGCCTAGGTTTTAGAGATGAAGTAGGGGATTTTTTAGGATGCCTGGAAAAATATTACATAACGAATGGAACAAACAACAAATCCAGTAATGGCAACTTTAAATTACGATATTGAAAGCAGAGTGTGGAGTTTAAGCGACTACATTTTTTTTTTTAATATTTCTTTAACTCTCCGGTGACAGGTGATAAAACAGAGAGAGCTGCTCTTTCTTGTTTCATAGAAATTTGTACACTGTATGTAGGTACATACTCATATACCTACTGGATCATTCTAGCTCTCATAGTTTCCATCAAGGCGTTCCACGAACACACAATGTGATTATTATGAAAACTTTTGCTGAGAAGTTTGGTAGCTATTTCATTCTCCAAGTGCCCTCGAAAGGTTTTGGTCTTGATTTTTGCGAAAAATCACTGTTGTGTCCTAGTTGCAATATTCCCTTGTTATTTTAAAGCATGTTGAATTAGATGGGTAGATTAACCTAGTTCAGTTCTGATTTTGCAGTGCATTGAGCCCCAAACCCCAAATATTTTTTTTTGTTGTTCTTTTTCAATACATATTTTTCGTTTAGGGTTTTTAGACCAATTCACATAGACATATCAACTGGTTTGGTATACCTATATCATTTTGTTGTTGACCATTCTTCAATGTTTAGGCAAACCTATTTTGCGACATTTGCAAGATTTGTTTGATTGAATCATAACAGTATAAGATCGACAAGGTAAGATTAGTTGAAAAGCAACTGGCCTATTACCGATCCTTGAACAGCTCCATTATCAAAAAAATTATCACTTGACATTGTTCCATTGACTTTCAGAAAGAGGTTTTGTAATTAATGCCAATGATTGCGTAGTTTTTGATTCTTTACCTTCTAGGCCCAAAATGGGGAAAAGTGCCTACAGAGAGTTCATAGTTATGTCATATCAAGGAGTTTAGAAGCTTTTAGTCATTGCCAGTGAAACTATATTTTGGATAGGACTAAAAACCGGAGAAATACTTTAGCAGGCAGCCCAACTCCGAAAAAACGATCCTGGTGGAAATCAAATAAGTAAGGATATGGCGTGTTTGGTATGTCGTGAAAACGATGGACTCTCTCATGTTTCTCGAACATTAATAGCTAATAGATTGAAAATCCTTGGTGTTGAGTAGGAGATTGACAGGATCATATTGAAGAAGAAATCGCGAAAGAAGATGTCCTTTTGTATGCTGAGGGTGTCAAGTTAGGGTGCAAAGAAATTGCAAGTTACAAAGGCTTTAAATTAGATAGCATTTTTTTTTCGTTTTCAAGAAGAGCTCACTGTTCTGGAAGTGACTTGTATGTATGATTTTTATTGGTACAGGTGTGAGTGATTAAGATGCTTTATATTCACAGGCTACCACACCATTGTCGTCAACTGCAAAAAACATATGTCGGCATCTTAGAACGAAATCCCTGATGCATACACTAGAAAGAGAAACTCCATTAGGTACTACTTCATCTCGGAATGAAAATTCGCACAGACAACAGATAAGAAACTTGAGAAAAACCACCTATTTAAAATATTATTTCTTCGAATATCAACTTTAAAAAAAAAACGCGCTTACTGAATAAAAGTAGATGTGGCAACCATGTAATGCGCCGTGAAATTTAGGTTTAGGGGAGAACGCCACGCCGCCACGAAAAAGCGTAGGTCCCGAAAGGGTAGAGTGGGAGACAGACAGAAAATGAGAGACAAAATGGAACAAGCTTGTCTTGTTCGCCATTGTTCATTATTCAATTTTTATTTTGTATTAAACTGATTGTAGAATCCAATTTGTGATTAGTTTTTGTGTCAGGGAGCATTCACAGATCAGTTGATTAAAAATTTTTTTTGAGAGTTCACTTTATATAAGTATTTTTTTTAAATTTTGTTTTTTTGTTTGTTTATAACATTTTTTACAGCATGTGCATTGGTCTTATTGAATTTACTAATATTTTCCTACCCTGACGAGCGAATATCCTTCCAAACAAAAGGAAAGAGATAGTGGCTCAAAATAACAACTATAGCTGGGTAGCATCCCGTATGGGACCTCAGTACCTTCTGGCAGACCAGCTAACTAGCCAAAAACTCTTCAGTATTGAATATAGGTAGTGTTGATTGAATGTTGTTTGTGGAATTAAAATGTTCGCACAAAGACAAAGGATGGTACGTAATTTAAACCTCTATTGAATTATTGAATCATTAACTTAAACTATTGATTATTGATTATTGACTCACAATTATCATAAAAATGACACAGTATGTTTTGATTTTTGAGGAATGTTCGATCGAGGGTTTCTCTACCGGTCTTTTTCCCCCCAAGAATTCCGGTTCAAGAACGGTACGATTTACTTTAATAATAGAGTAGACGTTTCACAAATTTTTTGTTTCTTTTACTTACTACAGCTTCCCTTAAATTTCCCAAATATTTGCTATGTCGGGCGCATGTCCTATTTGTTTTTCATTTCGTTTTTCAGAAGATTTATTGTTTATAAGGTAATAAAAAATCCACACCGTTCAATCTTACTGAACGAACCCGGGGTTTTTATACTACAAACTTACGAGCAACTACCTCGATTAGGGCTC